GGCATCTTCAGAGGCTTTCCTCCCGGTGTCCCTGGTCTGCTGGAGACGGTCCCCAGCAGACCAGAGGCACCGGGAGCAAAGCCGAAGTGGCGGCGGGGTGCTGCGCTTCTGAGGCTTTGCTCCCGGTGCCTCTGGTCTGCTGGGGACCGTCTCCAACAGACCAGGGACACCGGGAGCAAAGCTGGGGAGGCGGAGGGGCGCTGGGGTATAAGACGAAAACCTATCTTTTAACTAAAAAATTAGGGGGTCGTCTTATACGCCTAGTAGCCTTGTACGCCGGAAAATACGGTACATCCCGATTGCCCCCCTTTGAAGAGACTCCATCCCACTGGACTTTGTGTAGCAGATTCTTAAATAATTGTATAGATCCCTGGTTTTACAACTTTAATACTATAGTTGACTTGAAAAAAATCAGGTAGTGATATGATAGCATGATATAGGACAAGAGAATCGTTTTCATTTAGAATTCTATTTATTCTTACTGCAGAATGTTTCAATGGCTGGTGCGGAAAACTCAATTTACAGAGCTAGAGTGGACGCGTTACATCCATTTACCATGTACGCATTTAGAGTACGCTGTTCAGCTTCTGAGCACTTCTGGAGGTGGAGTAAATGGAGTAAGCAGCAAAATTGCAGTACTTTGGAAGCCCGTAAGTTTATAAAACTGTCCTTTTATGTCAAAATATTGAACTTATAAGCCACATGCTTAACAAAATCTTCTTTCTTAGCTCCTGTCAGAGGACCAGATATCTGGAGAGAGAGAAGTCCTGTCGGAGAAACTCTAACAATCTTTTGGAAGGTATGTAGCTGTGTGTGTTCTTTGCTTTTCTTACATACTTTCTATATGTGCCAGGTTTGTATCCAGTAAAACTAAGTGTTGTTCTTAAATATTTTATAGGCCTTTACTCACAAAATTAGTGTCCTAAACTAAAACCTTATTGTCCCAGAAATGTGGATACTAAAAAAAGTTGCACATGGAATTAAGTAGGATTTTTCCTTAGATTGATTCCTACAGAATAATTTCCTTAGATTGATTACTTTGAGAGTTGTCTTCAGGGTTCATGTGTTAACTCCTAAAACATTCTTGCTTTACTGACTTTTTCACCTGATTATCCCAACTCTGACTTTTAGATGCATGTAATCTTTTGTCCTGACTTTTAAAGATAGTTTTGGTTTTTGTGTGATTTGTGCTTTGTTGTTGTTGTTGTTGAATAGCCATTACTTAGATCTGAAGCAAACGGAGTAATACTTTCCCATGAAGTGTCATGTTATCAGCAAGAGACGATGCTGAACGCTCGTGACGTCCCTGTACCTTTGAATAGCACTGAAATAAAACTTGAGGAAAATGATTGCTTAATTAGCGTAGTAGCCAAAAATCGTGCTGGCTCATCTCCACCTTCTAGGATAACTAGTGTAGATCTTCCAAGTGGTAAGTACTTGATTCAAAGATTTAAACCATTCAAAGCTTGTGGAACAGCTGGGTGATTGTTTTTCAGAGAATATAGCTGATCTGTGCAAATAGAGGTTTTTTTTTCAATCTGCAATTACTACTTTGCTTTAAGTTATACTCTTTCTGAAAAGAGGGTTGCAATTACAGGCTAGATTGCTGTGTTGCAGTTTTCTGGAGACCTCCCAGGAATAACAAGGAAGAGGCTAAATCTTTGGCACAAAATCTTCAACTTTCAGGAGGTTTTGTTTATTTCTTTGCCATCTTTCTGACTCAAATGAATGTGATTTAATGTTAGAGTCGCAAAATAAGTTTTTCTTACAGTAGAACCTTGATGCTGCATACTTGTTAAACAGGTTTTCCACTCTTTCAGGCTCAAACATCAACTAAATGCATTTGTATTTGATCATGTGAAGGGAGAATACTACTTGAGCTAACTAGTAATGTGCCTGAATCATGATATGGTGTCAAAAGCAGAGGCTTGAAGGTGTGTAAGACAGGGTTAGGGAGGCCTCCCATTTAAGATAACTAAAAATGACCTCAATAGTAGTGGACTACCCTCCTATATGTGAAGGAAAATCTTTGGGCTACACTGCTGGGGAAAGGGAGCACATAGTTGTTCTGCCCGGGAGCTCTCCAAGTACGTCAAAACATGGTCCCTGGTCTCCCTTGCTCCAGGGACACAGTAATCTTTCCCAGCCTGGTACCTGGTGCAGACCACTTCCCCATCCATTCCCATTCATATGAATTGGCTAGCACCATGGGAAGGCAGAGTCAAGGCACTTCTGGCTCTCTCATAGCTATGTTGGAGCAGGGAATAGCAGCTCTGCAGAAGCTGTGCATCCTAGCCCCTGAATCCTACACTGTGAGCTGTTTAAGACAATGTGACTCATTCATCCCTTGTGAGATGTAATAGAGATCAGAGCTGTATGCTTCCTGTCTGACGTTCTGAAAAGAGAATCACATTTTTAGGCAGAAATGTGTTTTATTTGAGGTTTATAGTTCCACTATCAGGAACATGGTCCCCCTGCCATTACCCAGAACAAGTTTTGTCCTCAGGTTAAATAGCCTTCAGCTCTCAATAGCGCTACTACTTGTTAATTTATCACTGCATGTATGAAAGAAAACTAATTAAACCAGGTAGATAAATTAATAGCATCACGTTACTAATTACACATGATGAGTAACAAAGCTAGCTGACTCACACAACGTAGGGCTCCCTTGATAATTCAGTTCTGTAGCATGTGACAAAGGGTGACAGTTGGAATTCTGTGATTATTATAGCATGCTACTGGAAAGGTAACATTTGGAAGACTGAACTTCCCTTTGGAGTCACCCATCACATACGCATAATGAATTGTCTTCCCTATTGACATGGGAGTTATTTGGAACATGACTCACCCAATGATCTGGATTACGTTGCTATACAGTCACTTCTGGCTGCATCCTGTACAGACTGCTAATGCAGTAACATCAGTAAGAGAGAAATGTTTCTGATGCTTGAGACCTCTTTCATCGTGGCAGTGAACTGAAAGTCTAGTTTAGATTGCAGCAGCAAAACAACTATGCAGCATTTCAGTATCCAGTGTTGCTTTTTGCTGCGAGAATGCTATCATATTAACACAGATCTAGAAATAAAATACTATGAAAGTGCCATATGAACATGAATTCTAACTTGTGATTTCCTTGAATGTTCAGTTTTTTAGAAAAAGTGTTTCTGGGTTCTTTTTAAACAGTTTAAGAACCTGCTCCTTCTATACATTTACCCCTTATTTCTCTCCATTTGATGTTGCTATGAATTAAGAAAAAAGATGAAATTGACATTTGCTTAAGTGGCAATTCAGCAATGATATTTTCTTTCCAAAAATTGTTCTTGTAGCACATAACATGCATTGGAAGGAACGCTTAGCATGAATATAGTCCTTTAATATTCAGAGCAACTCATGGAGGAATTAAGGTGTTTCTCTTTGCAACTTTTTGTAAATGATATTTTCCTTTTCCTTTAAACTCAGTCTTCCAAAGACTGGACAGTTTTAATAAAATATAATGATCCAAGTAAACACAGATCAGGCTAAAAACATTTTAAAAATCAAGAAAAGTTCAGGAAGTTCTGAAGGTGTGAGAGGAATGATGAAATACTTTGGTTGCACCTGAATATATATTTAAGACTTGGGGGACTCCCATCTAGCCATAGGTGGAGGCTCTGTAGGAACTAGTCATCAGGAGTGTGTTTTTTGGGATGGATGAATGGAAGGAGTTAATTACTGCAGGGTCTATCAAACTTGTGTCAATTGGAATTAAACCAAAATCCCCGTAATAGAAACTTATCCAGAGAAAATGATTTGTATCCAAACTTGAGGACCTGATTAACTTATTCTATCTGTACTGTTCCTACAAATTTCACTATAGACTTAAGTTTGATTTACAGTGCTTCAAAAAGTACAATATAATTTACTTATTGGTGTAGTCCACTTCGCTAGCATGGACACATTGTATGTGTGTTCTCATGACACCAGTTTTCTAAAAACTGTAGTTCAGGCTTCAAGAAAGACCTTTGAACTAAAGATATAGGCTCTGGAGTTTTTTATATATTATCTTTATTATAGACAATGTCAAAACAGAGCAGGCAATTGCAACTGGAAATGGAATTTACATTTCTTGGCATTCCGACCCCAATGTGACCTGTGGCTACACGGTGAAATGGTGTTGTTCATCTGGACCTGAACCCTGTACTGTGGATTGGAAAACATTTCCTTCAGATGCAACAGATGCTGTGATTAAATCTGGTAAGGGAAAGTCATTGTTTACATTGAACTTTCCAGTTCAACGTTTGCATATTATTCGGTCTTTGAAAGTGAATGCAGAAAATTAACAGAGGAAAATATAAAAAGTACTGTTTTCAAATACCTTCTTTGCATTATTATTTCTTTATCACTCTCCTCAGCTGTCTCTTTATCTTAATTCTTGATTTAACTGTTATTTTCTTTGCACTTTCCAGAAGCTACTGAAAGAAATGTAGCTGAAGCTTAAATTTTAGCATCCTGTGAAATTGTTGAAATCCAGGGTATATCCTTTGGATTCCAGATGTATCATTTTGGACACCTGAGGGCAGGGGGGGAAGAATGCACTGGTTTTTTAGCATGAGAAAGTGTGAACTCACTCTGGCTTGCAGTAGACAGACAATTGACATTTCCTGGAACGAGGCACATTCCAGTATCTAGAGGTGGGCAGGCCAGGCGGGGAGGAGGGGGAAGGCAGGAATGGTGGGA